AAGGAGGAGGGCCAAATGTGAATGTTGCTCATCTGGAAAATGATTCTCAAGGATCCTTTGACTCAAATAGCTGGTATCCAGACTCTGGTGCAACAAGTCATGTGACCTATGATTTCAACAACCTCAACTCAGCCTCAGAATATCAAGGAAGAGAAAGGGTCCAAGTTGGTAATGGAGCAGGTTTGAATATATCTCATTATGGTAGTTCTATTTTTCTGTCACCTTCAAAAGACATTTTCATACTCAAAAACCTCCTTCATGTTCCTGAAATCACTAAAAACCTCATTAGTGTGAGTAAGTTTGCCATGGATAATCATGTGTTTTTTGAATTCCATCCATCTGTCTGTTTTGTGAAGGACCCTTTAACAGGCAAGATCCTGCTGCGAGGAGCACTTGATAATGGCCTCTATAAATTCAACTTATCCAGGAAAACTAAAGAACCAGTTTATGCTCAAGACCTTGAAGCTGTCAAGAATAAAAGTCATCTTTCTGTTAATTCTGTAGTCAATGAAAAAGGAGATCATTTGAAAATTTGGCATGATAGGTTAGGTCACCCTTCCTTTGAGATTGTCAAAAGGGCTCTGAATGATTGTAATATTCCTTTCAATTTGAACTATGAGAATTCACCTTGTGTTCCTTGTTTACAAGCCAAGTTTCATAAACTTCCTTTTTATGCTTCTGATTATGAATGTGATCCTTTTGAACTTGTTCACACAGACCTTTGGGGACCAGCCCCTTTAAAGTCTTTTAGTGGATTTAAGTATTATGTGAATTTCATTGATCATGCCACTAGATATAGCTGGACTTATTTCCTTAAGAACAAGTCTGACACTACTCAAGCCTTTATGCACTTTCATAAACTTGTTCAAGTTCAATATCAGAAAAACATTAAGGCTGTTCAGAGTGATGGGGGAGGAGAGTTCATAGCCTTATCAAAGTTTTTCTCTCAAGAAGGGATTGTCCATAGAATGTCTTGTCCATATACTCCTGAACAAAATGGCCTAGCAGAAAGGAAACATAGGCATATAGTAGAAGTTGGCTTATCTCTCCTTGCCACTTCTCATGTTCCCAGAATTCATTGGGATTCAGCTTTTACTACAGCTACTTATCTTATCAACCGAATTCCTTCAAAGGTTCTCAAGTTTAAGTCTCCTTTTGAAACTTTAAATGCCACAAAACCATATTACACAAACCTTAAAGTTTTTGGCTGCCAGTGTTTTCCTTACATGAAACCTTATAACTCCAACAAACTGGACTTCAAAAGTACTCCTGGAGTTTTCCTTGGTTATAGCCCCTGTCACAAAGGTTACAAAGTCCTTCTTCCAAACAGAAAACTCATCATCACAAGACACATTGCCTTCAATGAACATTGTTTCCCTTTTAAAGACCAATCCAAAAACAGTCTTACATCCACTTCACAACCCTCTTCTATTTCAGCATCTCTTGACCCTTTTACATATTCTCAATCCTCTCAGCAACCACCTCCATCCCCTTCACCTCCACCTACACCAAATACACCACTTCCATCACCTACACCAACAGCTTCATCATCATCTCATTCTTCAACCTCTGATATTCACAGCACACCACATTCATCTCCTACCCCAGCCCACAACCTGTTAGATGAAGGTGGCAGACTTGTCATAGATCTACCTATTGAGAATATACCTGCTCCTACTACTAACCCCATTTCTCAGACTGCAGGTTCTCACCACATGACAACAAGATCAAAAGCTGGAATTTATAAGCCAAAAGTTTTTCTTGCTTCCCCTATCCTGAGTGAACCTCAGTCCACAAAGGAAGCTCTTGCTATTCCGGCTTGGAAGAATGCTATGGAAGAAGAACTTAAAGCTCTTCACAGAAACAAAACCTGGAGTCTAACTCATTTACCTTCTCACAAGCAGCTTATTGGGTGCAAATGGGTTTTCAAAACCAAATTACATGCAAATGGCACTCTTGACAAGTATAAAGCTCGGCTAGTGGCAAAAGGGTATTCTCAAACCCCAGGTTTTGATTACACAGACACCTTTAGTGTTGTGGTTAGGCCGGCTACAATTAGAGTTGTCATTTCACTTGCCCTATCAAACTCTTGGCCTATCAAACAGTTAGATGTTGCTAATGCCTTTCTTAATGGAGAGCTAGATTCTGATCTCTATATGGCCCAACCACCAGGTTTTGAAACTCCTTCTGATCCACCTCTTGTTTGTCAACTTCACAAGACCCTTTATGGCCTTAAACAAGCCTCTAGGGCTTGGTCACAGAAGCTTAGCTCAGTTCTTTTGTCTCTGGGGTTCTCTACCACTAAGTCTGACACTTGCCTATTCATCAGACACTCTCCTCAATCTACATTGATTCTCATGGCCTAGGTTGATGACATAATTCTCACTGGTTCCTCTCCTTCAGAGATATCTCATCTGATTTGCCAATTGCAAACCCATTTTCCTGTTAAAGATTTAGGGCCACTGCATTATTTTTTGGGTGTTGAGTTTATCTCTCAACCTACTGGCCTTTTCCTGTCTCAAAAGAAGTACATTCAAGATCTGTTGTTTAAACTCAACATGGACAAGGCTAAGGGTTCAACAACACCTATGTGCACTAATCCTCCACTTTCCAAAACAGATGGCTCTCCTATTGATGAAATCACCTTGTATAGAAGTATGGTTGGTGGTCTTCAATATGTCACAGTGACCAGGCCTGAGCTCTCTTTTAGTGTCAACAAACTGAGCCAATTCATGCATTCTCCCTTGGACAAACATTGGAAAGCCCTAAGAAAAGTTTTCAGGTACTTAGCTGGCACTATAGATCATGGTTTACACCTTTTTCCATGTCCATCTCTTCACATTTCAGCCTTTGCTGATGCTGATTGGGCCACAGACCCCGATGATAGAAGATCGGTTTCTGGTTTTTGTGTATACTTACACAAAAATCTCATTAGTTGGAGCTCAAAGAAGCAGCCTTTGGTTTCCAGAAGCAGCACAGAAGCTGAATACCGCAGCCTAGCCAAAGTTACTTGTGATATCTTGTGGCTACAGTCCTTGTTAAAAGAATTAAGGTTCAGCCTATCATCTGCTCCTATTGTATGGATTGACAATCTTGGTGTAGTGTCTTTATCTAAGAATCCTGTCAACCATTCCCGAATGAAGCACATAGAAATAGATCTACATTTCATCAGAGATCTGGTTCTACAAAACAAGATCAAAGTCCAGCATGTTCCTTCTCATGAGCAAATAGCTGACATTTTTACGAAGCCTTTATCCGTGCAATTCTTCACAAAGCTTCGGGATAAATTACATGTTCTTCCCTCATCCTTGTTCGAATTGAGGGGGCCTGAAAGCAGTATTAATGTTGATCAAGAAAATCAACAAAACAAAGCTAAAAGACAGAAGACAATGACATATCAAAGCAGCTCATGAGAGGGTCCTTTTTGTCTTTTCTATTTGTGCATGGCAGCATGCATGAGCTGGAATTGTACTAGCCTAGATTTCTATTCACTCTCATCTTGACCGTTGATCATTAGTCACATAGGGAAGCCCTAGCTGATAGGTTTATGCATATATATTGGAGATAGTGTATGGCAGCCGTATGATCCATTTTTGTACCTTCATTAATGAAACAGTAAAAGCATCATCTCTTGTTTTTCCATTTTGAGCTTGAGTTTCAATCTTTCATTTATGGCGGTTCAGATTTCTCGATAGTAAAAAGGTTTCTGTCATTTGCCACACAACTCAAAAATTAATGTTTCATACATATTCAACGATAATGTACACATAACATAACACAAGCTTTGCACTTTTTATATGTTTTGAGCAATCAAGTAATAATTCGTTTTACGCATCGTCAACGGGACCGGATTTTAGTACAATTTGGCCTATTTACATGCCGGTACTTTAAAATTAGGCACATGGATGAATACGATTGTATGCGGATAAACGGTTACGGGCCCTGAGGATGCTACACGAACGGGCTTCAAGGTTGGTATAGCACCTGACGGGCCGACAGTTAAAGCTTCGCCGTTGAGCAAAACCGTTTGGCTCTGTAGGTTTCCTTCAAATGGGCTCAAGTGATATTCTTCTCGGTATAGTCTTTCGTTATTTGGACCTTCCGACACGTGCTTACTGTTGTAATCGAGCTTTGCCCGAACTTTGGTCTCGCCGTCTAGGTTTATCAGTAGAATCGTAATTCCTTTCTGCAACAAGTGATCGTTGAAAATGAGATTTTTTGGATTGAGTTTGATTCATTGAACAATTGTGAGTTACAATAGAAAAAAATAATAATAATTGATTTGGTGAAAATTTGCTTTTGAGTTTGTGAATGGAGACGGAGTAAAAACGTAATAATTAAAGTTGATGTGACATAAAAGTAGTAAAATAATGATTGTAAATGATTGATAGTTAACAATATGTGTGTACATGGTTGGATGAATAGTGAATTTGTTGGAAACTGTGAGTGATGATTGGTTTAATAATATTGATGAGAGCTAAAGTTAAGTTAAATTAGATTTGAGTTAAATTTTGAGATTAAAAAAAANTTTTTTTTTTTTTTTTAGCATACTTCCAGTGAAAAGAACTATTCATATGGTTTTGTCGAATGCACAACTTACGGATGGCTTTGCACAATGGGCGTACGCACGGATGCTCTTCGTCCCTCTAAATTTTGTCGAGAGAACTTGTTTCCCCATCAAACGGTGCCAAAGAAGTGCGCTGCAAAAACACAACCGGCTGTATAAATTATCCGAACATCGACCAAAGGTGAACATTAAGAGCAAAGTATTTTTTGTTTCGGCCAAAACCTGTAGTAATCTGGGTTCGGGACAAAAGTGGTGGTGTTAAGCAACCCATAGTTACCTCCGACTAACGTCTGTCTACAGTACACCTTGGTGTCGTAAATCGATGCAAACCCCATGTGGTCCAAATACCTGTTTTGTTCGTACATTAATTAGCATCGACCACTTGTTTTAGTCAACCATATAAGAAGCTAAAAAAAAAATCATAAATAAAATTATGTCATCGATCGAGCATTACCAGAAACTAAAGAGGAACGTGTTTGTAATCCCATCACGGCCGCTATTATACACACCTCCCGATTCGCCAATCCATGCAACCGTTGAGGTTTCGGATTTCTTGAGAATCTCATGGAGTCTCCTCAACACTTCAGCTCCCTCGTCTAGAGCGGTTGCATTCAGAATTCTATCCATGAGGTTCGTGTCGGACTCGGACCCTATGAATTAATTTAATAGTAAAAAGTAAATAATATGTTCGAAATTTCTTAAATATTATAGGGCCTCAACTAGGATTGTTATCAAATCGTGTTTTTCGCGAATAAAGCTCTTTCGTATTCGATAATGGCTCGTTCGTCTAGTAATCGGTCCGAACTCAAACATGAAATTACGCTTGTTTAGTTATCGAATGAACATGAACAAGTTCGTGAGCTAAACGAGCGTTCACGAACAAAAAGGTATTTTATCCTTGTACGGTATTAAAATAAAATAAAATAAAAAAGTCAACAAACACGAACATGAACTTGTCGAACAATTCGAACACGATCTTGTCGAACAGTTCATGAACAAGTTCGACTATAAAAATGAACGAACACGAACAAAACTTTTTGTTCAAATATTAAAACGAGCATGAACACGTTCGAAAATTATTAGTCGAACTCGAGCTCGAAAACATTAAGCTCGGTTCGGTTCGGTTCGATGCGATTCTATAACAGCCCTAACCTCAACTATCTGTATCTTGATTTTCGCTCTTTCAATGTTTGATTTTCGTGTATTAGTCCGCATCGATTTTCCGTACCTGGGCCGAGAGGGTACGTGTGGTGGGTGATCACGTCGAGTGTTCCGTTAGTTTTGGGTACGTAGCGATCGAACCAGTTAGGTTCGAATATTGCTCCGGGAGCAATGACCAACGGCTTATCACGTGACCCCTCGTAAATCTCTTTTATTAAATCGCGAAGAGCAGCCGTGTCGGACGCATATGGATTGGCACCGATTGCCACACCTAATACCGGCCGTCCTCCTAATTCGTTCCCTAAAAAATAAATAAAACAAAAAATAAATAAACCAAAAAAAAAAAAAAATAGAACAACAGGATTAGCTAGGCCTCTATATACCCGAGTCGATATCGATCAAATGCTAATATGAATAGTCGAAAAAAGAATTCTTCACCTTAACGACAGAAACTTATAGTGATCATTTATCAAAAAATGACTCACGTTATCAAATGATTTGAACAACTGAGATAATTTTACTTACGATACTTAGTTGACATATTCAATACATTTTGGTCGAGTTGAATTATTTCTTACCGAGCTCCCAACCGTGAACGTTGTAACCTTTTTTGGCCGTGTAACGGATAAGTTCTGCGGCATTGGTCGAGTCCCAAGGACCCCTCGCATTTTTACCTCTCCATATAATTTTTCCATTAAGAGCATTGAGTCCGAAAATGGGGATAGCCCTGATTTTTTTTTCAAAAAAAATAAAAAATCAATGTTGTTATCTTTACGTATAAAGACGTATACACATATATACGTAACATTTTCTTTTGATTTAGTGCGTATTTTTTTACCCGGCTCGACTTATGAAGGTATTAAGCTCGTCCCATCTAGACAAAGACAGGCATCCCTCGGTGAAATTGAACAATTGGGACGTGTTTCGGATGAAAGGAACGCACGGTATGTTTCGAGTTTGGTAGATCAATCTATCTTGCAGGGTGCCTCCAAGTCTCATTCTCAAAGGTGAAAATGCTGCATGATATTATGGGAAAAAATAAAACATAAGTTATG